AATCAAAGGCAGACGTCCAGAATGATGCATCATCCAAAATCTCGTAACTGATTTTGTCTTCTGTCTCATAAAGTTTTCATCTGTGGTTACCATACAATCTTGTCATTACATATTGATTTCTATATACACGAAATTAAAAATATTATTCATTTGCTTTCACTAGTATAACGTCGAATAAGTAAAGAGGATTTTAGTTATTATTATTGAGCTTTCCATTAAGCATGGCATAAATTCTACAACCAATTCTTCATATCCAAAATAATCAATTCTTTTATTTGCAACAAATATTGATAGACCTTATTACATCGAAATTCAGATGCTCTTACCTGAAGTCTAACAAATGCTGTTATCTGCAGAAATGTTCTAAGCACACTAGTCGTGTAATTAAGGAGATTCTTTCGATCCAAGATGCAATAATAACCATCTAACAGTCATAGAAAATCTATGGAATGTCGCCAAGAACGACTGATGAGAGATGACGACACAAAATTTTGAAGCTTTATAATCATTTTATGGTTGATTCGTCGAAAACCCATTGAAGTCGAAAGGTTTCAACTTTTGTCAAAATAGAATTTGGGTTTTGCCCTGCAACTTTAGTTGGAACATATTTTTTTTTAAAAAAAAATATTATTTTGAATGTTTCGTCTTCCATACTTTTGGTCTAAATTAAATGAACAAGTAAAATATACCAATGAGAATAAGAATGTAAAATGTATTGTGACATGACGTGATAAACTTTAAAAAAGACCGCGATAAAGAATCACTTGAAATTTGACTTATTGAATGAAAAATATTTTCAAATCACATGATTAGATCCGCAAACACATGATTTAGAATCCCATATTCTGACAAAATTCTCATTTTTCTATAAATTTACATTCATCTCGATAGATGATCTCTATTACTGGGGGTGAGGATATTCTGCTTCCCTTATAAGCTTTGCCTAGATGCTCAGCGGGATTGCAGCATATCTGAGGTATGGATTGAAAGGTTTTACTTGCTTCACATAAAAATGTATTCGTATGACAATTAAAATTTATGTAACTTGCATTATTATTAGGGAATTTTTAATAATTGGAATTAAGAATAATTAGTCCGGAGCGAAGCGCCGAATATATATGTTTTAGTGCTGTTTGACTTTTGCAATTATTTTTTGTTAAGATCGTTCGGACTTAACAACGGTCCCCGTTCCCTAGTTACTATTTAGAATTTTGCCTACAATAAAATTAACAATTACAAACAATGTATCGCTAAGTTTAAATAGTGATATAAAATGATTTACAATAGTATAGGGATCGTTCAAAAATGTGACATTATTTTAAATTTCCTAAATATTAGACTTATTAGATTTTAAATTTTCACGTTTTATCCAGTCTTTTATTATATACA